TTAACTGAAATACAGAGAAATTGTGTAAATTTCTCAATAAGTAAACAAGAGGTAAAAAGAGCAACATGGAATTTAAAAGGAATGTTTTCAGTTATCCAACAGCCCTGCAAAGGGAATCATGCACTTTTTTAACTTGTTAGAGCCAAGGGCTATTGACTCCAGCTCCATACTAAATTTGCACGTGATACAGACTGTTTCTGAACACCAATCAAATTGATAAACAAGAGCATTTCTTTTTTGTCATTATTTCAAAGTAAATGCTACTTTCAATTTTGGATGGAAAAATAGGTCAACCATTAACAAAAACAACGAAGCCAGAGTATAGACATCATGGTCATGGATCTCTACTCTGGCTTATGGAATTCATTGGTCTCTGTAATCGAAACATCTCAAATGGTCTTGTCATGTAGAAATATCGTGATGAGAGCACTGAGAAAATTTAGCAGTGCTATGACTGCCAAGACTTTTTGAAAAACTTTCAGTACTGATTGACAATGGTCTGGACCAGACAGTCAGGGAAAAGTGGCTCAATCTTGCTTTTTTAATAATAATAATAATAATAAATTATTTATACCCCGCCCCTCTGAGAACAATCAGGGCGGCTAACAATGCATTACCTCTCAATCCCATCCCTATCCCATCCCTACCCCCTTAAAAAAATATTAAATCAAATAAGATTAAAAACGAAATAGAATAAAATACAGCAATTGGCTGCAACAATATTAATAGTAAGAAGCAAAAAAGAAAGACAAGAAAATGGCAACATTATGCCACTTTACATGAAACACTAAGAGGAGTCTCTAGGGAGAGTTCCTGAGGAGTTCCTGAAGAATTCCTGAGGCCGGGGTGATCTGGAAGTGGGTCAAACCCCCGCTGAAAGTTATCTGAAAGTGGGTCAAACCCCCGCTGTCTGCACGGCCCACTTCCAAGGCGGGCTGAATACCTACAGCCAGGTCACAAGGTGCAGCATCAAGCTGCACTACTGAATCATATTTTTTTGCTGCCTCCCATCATGCATGAGAGCTGTTGAACAAATAAGCAGCCTACAACCTCCATGTACCTTCTAGATCCTGTCCAGATGCCATCCCATTGCATGGCTGCCCCCTTGGTTGGCCACACAGTCACATGTGCAATGCATGTACAGGGCACTGGTGCATCGGTGTGCCAAGTGATACATTGGCAAAGCACAATCATGGAGCCCCCCCCAGTACATGCCCCTTTCACCCCATACCCACTGTTCAACTGTCTGGTTTGTATATGTTGTAATTACATCCACAATGTGTTGTCGCACTTTCATTTCTTTTCTTTGCCACAGCCCCACACTAGCACCAGGCTGTTTATATGCACATGGAAAGATGTGCTTTTCCGCACTAAGCTGGAGTATCCCGGCTTCTTTTTGCTCCAGTTTTTAGCCCCAGATCATGACTTCATTTTGGTTTCCACTCGCTTTGAAGGCATGTGTCATGTAAACACAACCCACCTTCAAAGCGGCTAGCAGCCACGTTATTTTGCTCATCCATTTCACCCCAGTGTGTCCATTTTCAGAAGAAAACCCATTTTCCGAAAGCATACCACTCTTTCTCAATACCGTAAGGGTATGATTTGTATTAAACCTAACAAAATAATTCTATTACCCTTTTGCTCATTATGAACAACAACAACAAAACCCCAACAACTTGATTTCCTAACAAGGTTAGAAGATAAGAGAATAAGCCACACTTTCCCTTTTCCATCCTCCTCTTCTGCAGAAATTCTCTCCAACTTCTAAGGCTTGTTTCAACTCTAAATCAGTACCATTATAAACCATGGGAACCATAAACCCATGCAATAGCACTATACCCTTGAAATGCTATATTTAATTTTTTTAATGGCAGGAAAAACTCCTTCTAGTCACTGCCACTTCAGCAAGGTGACTGGAAAGATCTTTTAAAGATTTTTTTTTAAAATTAGTAGGACAGGAATAAAGCACTATGGTCTTATAATGCTATAATACTTTAAAAACATTATAAGGGTATTACATTATTTTTATCTAGTTCCAGGCCATTAAAATCAACTAGAAATTCAGTAACAGTCCACCATAAATTTTAGTGCAATATTACAGTAGAAAAATAGCACATTCAAGTAAGACCCACAAAAAATGTGGCAGTGTGTAGCTTTCCAGACAGGCACCCATTCCTTCCTCCATTATATTCTAGTATTTTGTCTAATAGGATAGATTGTTCCGAAAGATCCCGATAGTAATACGTGAACTACTACTAGTACTGGGTGTACTTGAAGTGCCTCTCCTGTGTTTCATCAATTCTAATTGAAATAACAGTAATTGTTCTTTTTTAAGTAGGCAAAAAGAATAGTTTCAGATTTATATAGATGCTTTCCTAACAGTCAAATTACTGCCCAATCAAGCATGCCATAAAGTATCCTAAAATTGGCCAATTAAAAGCATTGTTAAGAAATATCCTTCAATCTCAATATACCTTTACTCACAGAATACTTAATAGTGTAAAGCACCACCCCATCACCCATTGTGGTGTGTATTATTTTAGGAACCATTATGTATCCCTCTGATGTATGGCTTTGTTTCTGCTTAACCAGCTAGGTCAAATTCAGTCATAAAATCAGGGACCTACAAATGCTTCTTTATTCATTCCATGAGCCAAACCACTGAATCTTTTCAATGCAAAACACATGGTTGGTAGGACAAAAAATGCAGCTTTGTTGAATGACTTGTCCTTAATTCCAAATGCCTTTCTGAAAAGACATTAGCAGGCTGTTAGTGCTCAAAGACCCTCATTGCATTGACCCATGATTTTCTTAAGGTAAGCCTGGCACACTTCCACTTCATTATGACCCATTTCTACCATTATCCTTCTCTCTGGGGCTGAACCTACCTCACAGGCCAAGAACTTTTCTTTCCAGTAGTGGTACCTTAAACCGGAGGACTAGCAGAGAATTAATTCTAAGAAAGGGAATAGGATAATTCTGTCCCTCTCAACCTGCCACATGGAGAGCAACAGTTTGGAATAGTTTCATTATCTTCTTTCGTTAAATAAATTATTTTCTTTATATATACATGCCTTCTGGGGTTGCTACACTGAGATTAAGTTATTGATAAAGTCACTTACACTGGTATCTGCAGTAGCAGTAACTTAAGGGGGTTGCAGACTGTCAAAAATAGTGTGAATTCAGTCCACTTTTAGGGTTAGGGTTAAGGTTAGGGAATCATTTGAACTGAATTTTATTATGGCACTAGAGTTCTCTGACAAAGAAGATTCAATGTCTCAGAAAAATAACAATTCCCATGATTCCCTAGCACTAACCCTAACCCTAAAAGTGGACTGAATTCACACTATTTTTGACAGTCTGCAACCCCCCTTAGATACTCAGAATAGGGTTATCACAAGTGATGATGGTGGTAGGACAAATAACGGTCCCTATAGAGGATGTCTGTCTGTGTGAGAGAGGGGAAGGATTAAATGTGAATTGGAAAGGATATGTTTGTGTGCCTTAGTACACCCTGACCCTGGTTCTGTATAAGCGTCAGGAGCTCCCACTAATGCATCCTCTTCCCCAGCTTCACAGTCCTCCATCTGGAAAAAAAAAATCCCCATGGGGGGGGGGGGGAGATGAAGGCCTTGCCCCCAAATAAGAATTCTGCACCCTGCAAATTGATAGCATCACAGTAATTTAAAACTTCAGTTAAGCTTTTAGAAATACAGATAAGATACCCAAATAAAAATGGGCAAGCAAAGTTATCAAAGGGCTGTGAACAAAGTAAATATAAGAATGCTAGGTGGCAATGATTATCCATGTCTCACTCTCTGCCATGCTAGAAATTTGGGAACTGAAGGAAGATCTTTGGGAGGGGGGCTTTTCTATTGGTGATTTGAGACTACACACAAACACACGCACCAACAGAGATACTAGAGAATGATTGAAATGGCAAATAAAATGCTATCGTAATTAGCAGAAGACAATTTCACAAGCAATCTTTCAAAAAAGACCCAAGGGTCCCACTGAAGAATTCTGCGCTGGCAAGGAGCAAATAACAAGTTATGTGTATTCATTACACATTTCCTCACATACCGAAACAACAATTCCTTGGAAAGCCAGCATACCCAGGTCTATGTCTTCCAACTTCTTTCTACTCTTCTTCCTACATCTCAGTTAACATGAGCAAGAGTGAAGCAGAAGTTGGTTGTTTGAGGAGGGTCAGCCAAAGCGCCGCCATTCCAGGGCTGCTTCTGTCACTTTCTAAGGGGACAACAGTTGACTGTGAAATAGAAACACAGTACAGCACCCAGAGTGCAAACAGCTTTACAGACTGCTCAAAAGCAAGTTCACGGGCAGAGAGGTCATTTTCATAAACTTAAACGGTTTCCTTTCACTACTAACAAAACAACAGCTGCAATGCAGGACTGTTGCATCATCCCTTCCCCTCCATCACTGACCTTATAAAAGATAAAAACATACAGGCCTGCTTCGAGCTGATTACTTGCCTAGATGGGTTTCAAGCTGGAACAGATGAGGACTGTATTACAATTCAAAATTGTGAACATCAATTTTCAGAATATGGAAAAATTGACAGAATGCTAAATTTGCTTTCTTATAAGCAGCAAGTATGTTCTTCCCTTACATTAATCTTAGGGCTGCAGATAAAAAGGAGTACAAAATCCATGGAAAGTGTTCATGCTCCCAAGGCATAAATGCTTTGGAAAAGTGTGACCATTATCATTGGGTAAACTCTCATTTTCCTCTGCCCTGTTCTCCGCATGAAATGCCAAGGGCTACACACACAAACACACACCCTCTCAGTCCTCTGACCATCATAGTCCCTAAATGGTCTCAGAATTTATAGAGATAAATTATTAACTGCACAATTCAGGCTGTCCTGTAGCTGAACCTAAGATTTCAAATGCAGATGTCTATATCCCACTATTTGTTAAATCTCATCACTGTACCACCCCCTCCTTCACTGTACTGACAGTCGGTGTGGTGTGAAAGCCAGTGTGGCACAGCAGCTTGAGTGTTGGACTAGGATTTCAGGACACCAGGGTTCGAATCCCTGCTCAGTCATGGAAACCCACTGGGTGACCCTGGGCAAGTCACTCTCAGTCTTAGAGGAAGGCAACAGCAAGCCTCTTCTCAATTAATATTGTCAAACCCCTCTCCCCCCAAAACCCCACCACCCTTAGGATAAGCACAGTTGATTTGGAGGCACATAAGATCATGCTTCAAATTGATATTTGTCGGCAATTAGTTCTTGGAGTAGATTGCATACTGAAAATTTGAATATAAATTCTTAAACTCTTACTGACTGCAGAAACATGAATAAATTTTTAAATCCTCCAGCCTTTGCAATGGATTTACCAGTATCGGTATCAGGTGTGTTTGACATAGGTAGAAAATTAGGAGCAACCACTTAGTGCATGGGTAGGCAACCTTTCCCCTTTAAGGGCCGAGGGACTTCAGCTCCCAGAAGCCTCAGCCATGTTGGCCAATAGTCCCATGTTGGCCAATAGCTCCTGGGATTCTGGGAGCTGAAGTCCCTCGGCCCTTAAAGGGGAAAGGATGCCTACCCCTGACCTAGTGAGTTGTTACAAAGTCTGGGACACCAGTGTCTGCTTACAAGTATGTATGATTTGTATCAAAACACCTTTGCTTTATAGATTACCTATAGAGTCGCCCCTCCGTTCACACTGACTTGAAGTCTGCAGTTTTGCATATGCACGGAGGGGTAACCTCCATTAAAATCAATGGGGCACAGCCCCGTGGAATGGATCCCCCACAGAAACGGAGGGCCAACTGTATTTTATTGTTTTAATTTGTGCCATAAGCCACTTGAAGCATTTTTAGACAGAAAGTTATAAAAAAAGTTGGAAGAGACCACAAGGGCCACCTAGTCGTCAGCCTCCTGCCATGCTGGAATACATAATCAAAGCACTCTCAACAGATGGCCATTCAGCCTCTGTTTAAAAGCCTCCAAAAAAAGGAGACTCTGCCATACTCCTGGCCAGCATATTCCATTGTCAAACAGCTCTTACTGTTAGGAAGTTCTTCCTAATATTGAAGTGGAATCTCTTTTCCTGTAGCTTGAATATATTACTCTGTGCCCTGGCCTCTGGCAGCAGAAAACAAGCTTGTTCCATCCTCAGTATATCAGCCAATGCCTCAATCAACTGCTAACTAGAAAAATCAAAAGCAACAGCACCTGCAAGTTTTCAGAAAGGAAGAAGAGAGACGAAAAGAACTAAAAGGCTGTTGCCTGCCACTAAAAGACATCCCTGACATCCACAGAGCATACTTGAAATATGCAAGTAAACAAAGCTTTCTTCCAATAATGAGCTAGAGCATCACACTAAAATGCAATATACTCACAGATACTTTACCTTGGTAGTTCAAAAACCCAGTGTTTTCTTTCTTGTGCCTCTGCCTTAATGTGTTCAAGAATCAGGGTCCCAGTATCTGCTCCTGTCAGCTAAAACAACAAACTATACATGACCCGGGGAAAGTTAGAGAGGCACTTGTGAGCTCTTCAAGACTAGTCCTTCAAGTGAGGTGGCCCTCCTCATTCCTTCCTGAAGAGGTCAGGTGGACTGCACAGTTGTGAAATCATTAAACTGTCATTAAGTCATGCTTCACACTGCTGTTTTTGTGTTTTAAAGTCTAGAGGTCTCAACAGAACAGTCTTCGAAAACATAAGATTGTGGAATTGTATAGAGAAATGTGTCATTCCTCTATCACCTCTGTGAAATGGAGACAGCAATCAGCATACATACATCTGCAGCTGAACACAGCAAGGTCTATATAAATATATAGAGGGAAAGAAGTGAAGGTCTCCCTCTGCATCTCTGGAACTCTTCTTTGAGAAGGCTTCACAATATTCCCTATAGTTCTGGAAACTGTGAGAGAAGTGGTATTATCCAGAGAGGAGCTGGCTAAAGCACAATCCTGTGCTTAATACATGATATCTGAAGTGACACTGGGGTGTGTGTGTGTGTGTGTCTGTCCTTCAAGTCTCCTATCAACTTATGGCAATCCCATGAATTTCATAGGGTTTTCACAGGCAAGACATACTCAGTTCCTTCCTCTGACATACAGCCCACAGCACCTGATATTCAATGGTGGTTTCCCATCCAAGTACTAACCAGGGCTACCCTTGCTTAGCATCCAAGATCTGACAGGATCTGGTGCCTTTAGGGTATTTGGGCTCACCTTAAATTTCTCCTCTGGATTCATAGACCCATTTCAGTCCTTACTAAATCCTTTTACACGTGCCAATCATTTAATCGCATTGAGCTTTTGCTTTGAACTCTGCTTGCTGAGCACCCAAAGCAATCTTGAAGTGATTCAAAAGTGTTTATTGTGAAGCAACAAAACAAATATTCTGCTGATTTGCACACTAAACAGATAAAGCAAATCCTCTCTCCTTACCACAAGAGCACCATATGACACTATACCTTAAAGGAGCTGGAGAAAAGCAACTTTCCCATTGTTTCCACACCCAGAAAATAAGAGTAAGAAACTACAATACACTGCCAAGAAGATGGACAACTCAAAACACCACATCAATAAAATGAAAAGGAAGGGAGAGGCAAGAAGTTGTGTGTGTGTGTGTCAGAGGCTGCATAGACAGAAGTAGCTAACATTCTGGTTTGTCCTGATAGGCTATTTGTCTTTATCAAATTGTCATATGCTTATAGTGCTTAAAAAGACAAAAATAACAAAGCAAGAAGCTATCTTTGAGGATATTATTAACCAAGAAAAAATAATTTCCTTGGGCTCGATCATCACTGCAAACAATGGCCGGCTGAAAGAGGCTCTGAACAGACAAACTGGCTTTAGTGTCTGCTCAAAAGAACAACACACACCTGAAAGAAAGATGATGCAAGCTACCATGCCTAAGCAATTTAAACTTTGGTGCACCAATTACAGTCAGTCCTCTGAACCCACAGATTTTTTTTTTATCCGTAGATTCAGCCATCTATGACTTGAAAATATTTTTAAAATAGTTATAAATTCCAAAAAAACAAACCTTGATTTTGCCATTTTATATAAGGGACGCTGTTTTACTACTCCAATGTATATAACAGGACTTGAGCATCCATGGAGTTGGGTATCCATGGGGAGTACTGGAACCAGACCCCTAGGGATACCAAGGGCCCACTGAGAGGATATTACTGCACTACACTCTTATAGTCCTGTTGTTCCACTTTTACTACTCTGGCTGCCTCCTGTGGCATTCTGGGGATCTGTAGTTCAGTAAGGCCCAAGAGCTCTCTGGCTGAGAATTCGAAATGCCCTTCCTTAAACTGCAAATCCCAGAACGCAACAGGAGCCAGCTAAAGCAATAAAAGTGGAATAGCAGCATTGTAATAATAATAATAATAAAATTTATTTATACCCCGCCCTCTGAATATCAATCTGGGCAGCTTACAATTTAAAACGTATACATCCATAAAACATATATGTACAATAACCCCCCGCCCCCCCTTAAAACAGTATTAAATCAGATGAATTATAAAATACCAACACAATAGTACCAAAACTTATTAAAATATAAACCCAGAATATATGCCCAACCAGAATAATCCTAACCATCGATGATGGGGCCACGTAAGGATCACTGAGGAGGGATATTTTATTTATACCCGAGGCCGGGTAATTAGTCTGGAAGAGTGTAGTGCAGTAATTTCATTAGTGTGATATGTACCAGAGCATAACCAGGTAGCAATGCAGGAAGAAGAGTGTCACCCCCATTCCCCAGAAATATAGCTAAGGTAGAATGAATAACCCTCAGGATAAAATACTAAATAAATCAAGACCAAGCCCCTTAATGTTTACTCCGTCTCTGTGTCATCAGTGGGTGCTGGGAATCCTTACAAGCAGGGGTAGGCAACCTTTCGTCTTTAAGGGCCAAGAGACTTCAGCTCCCAGAATCCCAGGAGCTATTGGCCAACATGGGACTATTGACCAACATGGCTGAGGCTTCTGGGAGCTGAAGTCCCTCGGCCCTTAAAGGGGAAAGGTTGCCTACCCCTGCTTACAAGTATGAATTGTGCCACAGTAGTACAACACATTTACGAATCAGGAGTATGCCTGCATAAACAAGAAGCAAGTGCTAATGGCACTTTATTGTTAGCTACTTTAATATGATCTCTGTCAATCTGCTACTCAGTAATTACATAGAGGGCACATAGCTAACATACAAGTGATTTCATAGATCAGGGGTAGGCAACCTGTCCCCTTTAAGGGCCAAGGGACTTCAGCTCCCAGAAGCCTCAGCCATGTTGGCCAATAGCTCCTGGGATTCTGGGAGTTGAAGTCCCTCGGCCCTTAAAGGGGACAGGTTGCCTTCCCCTGTCATAGATCAACTGGGAAGGTTGATGCCTGAGAGTTGTATAAAAGAAATATATTCAGAATGTAATAGCTCTTGCTTCTTTGTCTGCCAGTTCAACAGTAGGCTCACCCAGATTCAACACAGGTTACTTTCATTTTCTTGGATGCTTTCCACAGTCATGTTGAATAGCAAGGGTGGGGAACCTTTGCCTCTCCAGAATTTGTTGAGCTTCTGCTCCCATCAGTCACTCTAAACAGCGCAGCCAATGCTTGGGCAAGAGGGAAGCTGTAATTCAGGAACAGAGGGAGTGCCACAGGTTTAGCCCTATTATACAGCAACAATCCTACAGGGACCTGTTTCCAAAGGACCATCCGTTCCACTGCCTTACGATATTTCCAGATAGGTAGTGTAGCCTATTCCATGATGTTGAGAATGAGAACCCCTTACTCAGAGGAGCTGCCACAGAGGTCCTGAAGAATATCATGCATACCCAACTATAAACCAGTCTTGTGGATAAGTGGAGGTCAGGTTTGGGGCCCAAAATTACAGAATTTGCAATGATCCATGTATAAGTTGAGAGTACAACTTAAGAGACATGTAACAAAGGATGTAAAGAATGAAGCAAAGGAAAATGATGCCAAAAAATCTAAGAAAATTCTGGCAGCAGTAACTGCTCCTCTTCACCTTATAAGCCGGATGAATGAGGAAGGAACAATCTAAGAAAATTCTGGCAACA